GGCTAAAAATGTCACTTACCTTTTCATTCTGCCATTGCTCAGAATGGAGCTTCCTACCCCAAAGAATGAGCTGCCAGTACATGAAGGAGCTGCTCTTGCACAGGACCATTCTTGTTACAGGAGTTTTTTTGATAGTGAGAATAGCACCACTTCTCTTTTTTTTTCTTGCAGAACAGGGTCCAAAGCTTTAATACCTTTTCCCTCCCTGCCTGGGCAAGTAATGAGTGACAAGATGAACACTCCCTACCCACAGCAGTGACAGGAACAATTTTGCCCAGTGAGTTTGAGAGGATGACAGGTCATCTGTGTGCCTACCTGTTTGGACTGTGTGTACAACATGAGTTTATTCCAACTGCAGCTCCACTCACACTGCAGATCCCGTTTGCTACACACCAGTTACTGGTGAAAATGTGCCAGATTCAGTGAGTGCTGGCACAGGTCTGATGTGATTATGGCTAGCTCTGTAAGGATTGTTGTTTTGGAGAATATTCACTCCCAGAAAAAACACAGAGAATGCTTATACAGTATTTTCAAAGAGCTCTGACCTGGTAAGGTCCGTTCCCTTGAGGGATCTCAGCCCAAGTGAGGCATACCTCTCAAACCAGACTCTTGTTGCCTCAATTCAGGCCAAATTTCCAGATGCCTGAAGCTACCACCAGCTTGTAAACAAAGCTGCAATTACACCTGAAATCCCCTATGGTAAGCATCCACAGAACTGATTTCTGTGGCTGTTTTAAACCACTTACAGAAACAGCAAAGCATTTCATATCCTCCCATCCACCACAATGTCCCCCATTCATAACCCTCAGCTAAAGGAACCAAATTACAGCTCATGCAGTCACTCAAGAACTACTGCAGGTGAGGAGGGAGCTGCCCCATTTCAAGACAGCACTCACTGGGGTGTGTCTGACAATAAACCTGACTCCATGTCACTAATTGTGGAGGGGATGACCTAGGAGAAGAGTTCATTTACACAGCTGCACAAATAAGCAAACTCCTGTGGTGAGAGAATTGACCAAGAGACAAGAAAACTGCAAAGGGAAGAATAATGCAATAGTTATACCTCATTTGTGGCATGGCATCTATACAGTTGTTGTGGTTTTTTTTCTCCTGCTAATTGATTTTGGTGTGTTAAACTGAATTTGAGCAGTACTTACAGTTCAATTCTTTAGGAAGGCAGAACAGTGCACTGAGATGGAGAGATGCATTACCTTCTGGCAGGTCTCAGAGCCCCCTCCCATTCCACCTCAGCAAGACATGCAACTGGAATCCCCCTGGTGACCTAACTATGGTCATGACAAACAGAACTTAATCAAATCTTCTGAGCAATTTGGAAAAAGAACAAAAAGCTTCTAGTCCCAATTCACCTATCCTGCTGGGAATCTAACTTGACAAAAGCTCAAAGCCGGATGAAAGCTTTGCCAAAGCAATTCGAGTGGCTGGCCTCAACAGAGAACACAAGCAAGTTTAAAACAGTCCTCAAAGCAGCAGCAAAGGCTGTATCATAGCTCAGCCTGACAGTCACACACAGCTTCAGCTTTCCCACATTCCGTGCAGGGCACCACAGATGTGAAGGCTGACAGAGCCCTCCTAAGCAGACCTCAGCTCCGAATTCACGGCCCCCAAGACACAGCTGTGTCAGACCCTGGTGCTCCCCACCTGCTCCCACTTCCCCTGACACAAGTGGTGTCTCATCCCTGCCCACCGTGGCAGCAGGGACAGGTAGGGATGAAGAACATGGGGTGAACATGTTTGTCACGGGGTTTCATCCCCAATGCCTGCAAGAGGCAGCAGTCTCCACAGCTTCTCCATGTGTCTCCTTTTCAGGCCACATACCTGTTACAGCTGCAATCTACTTCCCAGTTCTGCTTTAGGCTAGGACACCCAGAGGGTTTAGAGACTGTCACTTGTCACACGCCCTAGGGACAGGCGCTCAGTGCCTGGGGCTGTCAGTACCTCTACACCAGCCTCTCTGTCTCTTGGGGGTTATAGGGACACCATGTCCCCCGTGGGAGCCTCGGAGGGCTCCTGTCACACACACCCACACTCCCCATTCTCAGCCTTTGTCCCACTGTGGTCACACCACCAGCATGAGGTAGGGGCACGGGTGAAACTTCTTCAAACCTCCTGCCAAAGACTGGCTTTTGGCCTCTCCTACCGTCCCAGCCTCGGGGCAGCAGTCGGGGAAAAGGGAGGGAGACTGGGGACAGCAGCTGCCAAGACACAGGGGTGCACAGGGGACATCACACTTTAATCAGAGGGCAATGGGGTTAATGAGGGGAAACTGGGATCACAGAGGGACAGAGGACATTTTTCTGGTTATAGCTGGTGTACAAACCATGGTTTTAACAGATGTTTGTTAAACGAGTCAGTTTTGTTTTTATTAAACCCAGCTTTGGTACAGGTCATTCCTGAGATTCATTTACAAGGCTGTTTAAAACAAAGATAAACTGGGGCCTCTCCCTGTTCCTGTGTGAAGTTACTGGGGCACAGACATCACATTTTGTTTTTCCCCTTTCCTTTTTTTTAAGAAAAGCATTTGTGTAAGGGGAAGTCCGTCTGTTACAAACACAGAACTTACACCAGGAACACTGAGTCTCCAGCTTTAAACCATTTCTCCTCCATTAACAAATAACATTTAGTTGTGCTTTAAAATGGCTCCATTCTGACCCATCACATCCCAGCGGGATGAGCAGAGCCCAGCCTGGCCAGGCAGGGTTACCCAGCCCCAAAGCAGCAGATGGGAGGTGGGCAGGGAGCTCTGGGGAAGGGGTTACGGAGTGAGGCACCACGAGCAGCCCTCAGAAAACTAAAGAGATGAAGGTTGAGGCATTTTGGTTATAAAACCTGTGAGTATACAGAAGCAAGCTGCACAGAAGAGTTATTGTTATGAAAGGTGAGAATCCAGCTGAAAGACTAGGGATGTCAAACTAGGGCTGTCAGGTTAGAGACATCAGGTTCCCCAGTTACACCCCAAAACCAGACTGAGGAGAGGACCTGCAGGACTCTGTTACTGCAGCAGCTCGAGCAGCCAAGCTGAAAGCTCCTCACACTACCCCAGTTTGTCCCTCAGCTCTCTGCAGTCAGTGGTGTTAACTCCCTTGGGGTAAGAGCCCCAAATAAGCATTCTGGATTTAGTGCCAGACATGCAGCAGCATTAATTAGCAGTTTACCTTTTGGCAGGTATCTTGGATTTCAACTTTACCAAGAAACCTGATTAAGCAAACTTTTCCCCATCAAAAGACATGGTGAATCTTAGTCCTTGCTACATATTCTCTTCTGTGCAATATATTGCAAGCTTAAAGGTGTAAGCACCAATTAATTTCTTCTGCATGAGATGTTTTGGCCTTAATAAATCTTCTAATTAACATATCTTCCTGTTGTTATGGAGTACGCACTGGGAAGACTAAAGAAGCTATAGAAAGAACAAAAGAGAATCAGTGTTTAAGTTTCAATTATTTACATTAAGTAAATACAGCATGAAAGGTCAAAGCACCAATCTATTGCACAGTCATTTGAGTTTAACCCATTGCAACTTGGAGAAGCTCTCACAGCTGCCACCATCTTGTTTGGAACTGGCAATCAAATGATTAATTTAAAATTTAATGAAAAGACTGCTGATGGAACATGAGAAATAACTGCTGAGGGAACATGAGAAATCCCAGGTGATGTGGACCCACAACCAGCACACACAGATGGAGCAGTGGCTTTGCAGGGTCCTCGCCTCATTCCATCCCTCACAGCTGCAGAGTTCTCCAGAGGGAAGAGCTGAAGACAAGGCTGGGTTCGTGGGGCTGTCTCCTGAAGGAAAGTACCATCATGTCCCAGGGCCTTGGCCACCAGGCTTTGGATCTGGAACTGCGAAGCATGGGCAGCACCTGCCTCACTGCTTCTCTGACTATGCACTTCTGTCCTCCTCAAAGCATCTCTAGGAGCTCTGCACAACTATTAATGAATGCTCTTAACACTGCTCCTCTGGAAAGACACTTGCACATCATCTGAATCACCCGGTGGCCCATCTTTAAAAACTCCACCATCTTTGGTTCCCTAAACTCTGATATACCTGAATGCACGTGCTCCTCTCTGGTCTCCTAGATTTGGCTTTAAAATGTACTAGAATGGAAAAGCATGTAAACATTTCATACAGACCAGTTGGTATCAATTGGTAATTCCCTACTAAAGCTTTTGCCTAAAAGGTTTCCAGCTGCATATTCCTAAAAAGCTCTGAGAGGCAGCCAGGATCAACAGCCTGGTTTTGTTCTTCAAGCTGGGGCTGCAGAAAAACCTCCCACCAGAAGCACTGCTACAGCAAACACTGTGCATCAGCCAAACTCCACACTGGCAGGATCTGAAGTGCAGCACTGATCTCAGTCCAATACCAAACAAACCCCACAATGGCCCAAAGTTGAGTGAATATAACTTGGTACATAGCAATGGCCCAAGGAACAGACACTGAGAACAAATCTTTGGGTAAAGCTTCAGCTGCTTTCTGAAAGCAGAGCACCAAACTAAAGCTGTGCTCTTTTGCTGGCCTTGACCTGAGTGTAATCATGTCCTTCTTCAGACAAGGAACACAGCTTTGGACACACCACCAGGAAATCTCTCCACCTTCTCCCTTTTCACTCTACCTTTAAATCACCTCTCTGGGCACCATGAAATCAGCAAAGCTGCTGGTACATCCCCCTGCTCAGTCACCAGATCCCACAAAGGAGATGTACCAACAAGCCTCAAAGCTCCTTCTGCCCAAACACAGACAGCTTTTGGATTAATACCTAAGAATTTCTCCTCAGATTACAAAGAAAGTACATTTCTGCATACTCCATGATTAGCTAGTTGCTAATTAATTAGCTAATTATATTATTGAATGTCCCAAATAGTCATAATACAGCCTGTGACTGGTAAGCTTGCAATCATGACACACTATTGTTGTGACAGATAATATAGAAAATAACTAGATTGCACAGAAAATGCACCACTAAATAAACGACACCACAAAAACCTCAAAATACATGTGAGATTTAATAAAAGAAAAAAAGTACAAAGTGAGTAGAAAGAAAATAAAGGAAAAACAAACCAAACCATGAACCCCAACACACTGGGAATGACAAAGCAAAGGGATGCAGCAGGTCCCAGAGGGCTGTGTCCCCCGTGCAGGTCCCCAAGGTGCCTCCACAGCTCCAAACCACCCCCATCTGTACCCCTGGGGCAGCCACCTCAGTCAGGCATGTCCCCCCACCCCAGAGACCCACAAAACACAGTTTAATTTAGAAAGCAGACAACATACAGGATGGTACACATTTAAATGATAAAAAAAGGACAGTTTTTCCCCATTAATACCAATCTTTTACAGATAAATATATAAAACAGCTGAAAAGATGTGTAACTGGATGGTTTCAACCATTTCTGAAGAGTATTTCTTTCACTTTTTCTAGCCTACGAGATTTTAAGTCTTCAGACTGGGTGAGATCAGCATCACAACATATTTGTAATTTGTTAAATAAAAATAAGATATAGAACTACCCTACCACAATACTTAAATCTTGTCTCAGCTGAAAGAAAAAGACAAGTACTCAGGGAAAAAAATATGGCTGAGTCCCCTTGGGGAGGTTATGATGTTGAACAAGCAACTACAAGGACAACGGATGTCCATCACAACGTAAATCGAAGTATATAATAATCATCATAATGAAAATATTGTTACATACATTCTGAATGTCTTCTTCAGAAAATGCTGTAAATTTCTCCATAATGCCCATGAATATGAAGATTTTTACTCTTTGTTATAATAATATTTTTTAACTACCTGTTATTCTAGGAAAAAATAATTGATCTCTGACAAGCCAGGGCAGAGAGAAACCATTTGCATAGATCTTGCTGGCTGCAGCATGAGATCAGGAGGGAACTGTTGATTGGAACACACTGGTGAGACAGGGCACACCAGTACCACCAGTTACTGCTTCATCCCAGCACTGGCCTTGGGAAGCAAAACAATGAACCAAGAGCATGGCCTGCTCAGGCAATTAGTGCACCACAGTTTCTCCCATTAGCAAAAGATTAACAAAAAAATAATCTGCTACATGATTGGTCTGTAGTCAGAGGTGAGGTGGAATTGTCTTCTTGCATATAACAGAAGGTTGGGTTCCTTGTACGTGTTTGAGAAAACCACACTAACCCTCCTAACATTTGATAGTTACTCTTTAAAATACATCTAACCTGGAGGCACAGCCTTAAAAACGAAATGCCCAGCTTTCAGCAGACTCCCAACAAGTGCAGAATTTTTATTCTTTCAACAAAAGCCTGTTCTAAAAGGTACCAGTAAGATCTTTGTGAGGTTCTTTTCTGGCATGAAGCAGCACTGTCAGTATATCCACAGAAAAGGCCAATGTCCATTGAAAAACAGTTTAATACCTGAGCATGTATTTAGAAAGGGAAAAAAAGAGCTGCTTTAATGGAATATGAGAGTTTAAGAACCTCAGAATCCAGCAAAATGCTGCCCTGTGACAGCTCAAACCCAGGCCTTGCATTTCCTTCTGCACAGCACATCAGGAATTTGCTGACAGCTTAAAGACACATCTTTAACAAAAAATGTATCAGAAAAATCCTGTAACATTAATAACTAAATAAAACTGCACACACAACTAACACTTAGCCAGCCAGTGTTTTTATCAACTCTAAAGACACTATGTGAGGGTTAATATATTTCCTTTCATCTAGACTAGGATCGGATGGATGGATGGATGGATGGATGGAATTGGGTCCAACTATTTTTCCATGACAACACAGCTAGTAACTCTCTGTTCAGTTATTGCCTTGCCTATGCACAAAATGGTTTGAGTGGAAAAAATTAATATTGATCCTAATTATTCCTCTGAGCTCAGTTGCCCACAAAAACAAGGCTGTGATTTCTAGGCATGAGGAGTTGTCAAAAAAAGCACCTTCTAAGAGGAACAGAGCCTGTCAGCATAAATACAGTGCACAGTCAAGAGCAGGGGATTCTCCTTATTAGGCACATATTAGATTTAAGGTTAAAAACTAAAAGTAAAGATGTTGGCTTAAATAGTTTCTACAACAGTAAATACCTTGGTAAGTGACAACTGAAGTGTTACACAAATCCTGTAGTTCCACTTTGTACAACAAACTCTTACGAAAAACCTCTCTATAAATGTTCTACTTTAGCAGTAAAGAAAATTCAGAACATTGTCCCATTAATTTTATTAACCACTCTCTCTCTCCTTATATATATATATATTATAAATGATGTAGCTAGTGTTTAGAGTAATTCAGGAATTAATACAGAATTACTGGAATGAGGGCTACTCTAAGATTCCTGCAGAAAGCCTAAATGTTGTATTTTTCCACCCATTCTAAAAGCTACTTGAGAATTTTTTTAGAAAAACAAACATTTTAGCATTCTTCAGACCACTCCTCTCACTGTGCATGTACAGGGGAGGTCAATGAGCCTCCAGCAGTCATCTTGGCCAATTAAAGAAAAAAGGCAGAAAGCAATTATTTAGCTGGTGGTAAGATGAGTTCAGTTATGGTCACTTCATACATGGCTGCTCCATCACTGGGTTTAGAACAAAACATCTTACTTGAGGGATTAGTTGTCTTTGTTTAACAAAATGTACATGTAAGGTTACTTCCTGCAAACCTCCTGATAATTCTGAAAAGAAAACAGCAGGAACACTGCAACCACGGAGATGCTCATTTTCACTTTGGTCCACTCACACAATGTTATGAGAAGGGTCACTCAGGGTGAGAAACTCAAGCAACTTAACACATGAAAGCACCAAGTCCACTCTTGGCCTGAAAGTCTGTGTGTGATTAACTGAAAGAAACAAAACATAAAAAAGCATGAATTAAAGTTATGAAAATCAAACAAAAGCGAAGTGTAGTGAAGTATGTTAAAACAAAAAAAGGAGGACAAACACTGCTGGGGCAGCTGAAGGCTTCAGGTGAGAGCAGCCTGGCACAACCTGCTCAGCACCACAAACACTTCTCGTTCCCCCAACTTCTGCAATTTTTCCATCACAATTTTTTACTTATTAAAGCTACTAAAAATACTGCCATGAACCAGGAGATGATAAAGACTTCAACTAGCTCTCCTAAATGCTTCACTTGAGCAGAAATCCCAAACCCCCATACTGAGCTTACTCACAGGTTTGAAAAGCAAAAAAAAAAAAACAACAAAAAAAAAAACCCAATGCAATACCATCCTGGTGATGGTGTACCTCCTCTAGCTGTGCTCCAGAGCCAGAGCTCCTGCCCCAGCATCATGTGGGGTCCCCCTGTATGCAGAGCCAGGCTGTGGATGCCCCTCTGCAGGCCACCGAGCTGCTCCCAGCCCTGCTCCTCAGCACAGCTCGTTTCTATCACTACCCAGAAGAGGTATGGTCCAGACTCACACCTGGAGGTGGGCTAAACCCAGCAAAGTACAGGAAAACCTTTCCTGCTGCAGCCAGAAGGAGCAGAGGGGAAGCTGCAGCATTTCTTGGCTCACGTTCGCAGTCCTTGCCTGCCGCTGGCATCATTTGCCCAAATTACCATTGTGTTCATCTTCCCCAAAGCAGTCGTGGGTCCAAGAAAGCCCTAGGATTCAGCTCCTCATTCAGATTAAACCCTATTTTCAAGAATTTTATTTTACAAACCATTTAGAATTAGAATTTTGCAAACCATTTAGACTCTGTGTGTGAGGTGGGCCACGCCCAGAGCATGTCAAGCAGTCTGCAGAAAAGTCCTTTGGTTTTAGCACAACACATTTACATTCCAAGGAAACACTCAAGTAATCTACCCCATTATCTTCAGAGGAAGAAACAAATTGCTAGGATGTCAGTGTACAGAATGAGCTCCTCTGGTGCTGCAGCTCACAGCAGGGAATGACAGACCACAAGATCTCATCAGCAGTGAGAAGCTGAATGCTGTGCTGTTCAGCACAAACTTGGGTGATGCTTCATGGTCTTTTTTTTCTTGCCATAATTAAGAGGCTCAGAAAGCCTTACCACCAGCCTGCTCTGGGTTTGATAGAATGCACTTCTGACTCCTGAGCTCCTTCATGCAAGGGGAAGTAACAAAAAACGCTGTAATAGCAGAATTACCAGCCTGCATGACAATGCTCCATTTTGTTCCCTAGCCAGTGTTCCTTAGAGACCAGCTTGAATTGGAAGCAGGATAACCCCCCCAACATCTTTTCTTTTTAAACCTGTTTGTCCCATTCCTGGTCTATCACTACACTATCAGGTGGCTGGAACAGCAATATTTACAAACCCTCCTGCTGGCTTTAGCAATGTCAATTAATGTGCAGCAAGCTAAGGTAAGAACTCTGCCTTTAGGGGAAAGGAATTTACTTGTCGTCAGAACTGCACCTTGGAGCTCCATTTCACAACCTGAGTTGGCTGTCACAGAGGCAAGAGTGAACCCCATGGGACCATAACCCATTAGAGAATGGCCCCAAATTGCAAATCCCTCCCACCTGCAGCTGCCCAGGCTTCTCTGGGCAGTGCTTGGGCACAAGAGGGGCTCATCTCTCCTCTGCTTTAAGCAAAGAATCAGAAGGATGGGAATTAAGATTCCAAAATCCCCTTTTCTCTGTATGAGGTTTAAACAACTGACCAAACACTAAAGCACCTGAGCAGGCTCCTGGCTTTCCAGTGGCAGAGGAGGAAGACTCCAGTTCAGACACTTACTTTTTCTTGTCTTTGTCCTTCTTCAGCGGCTGCTGTGAGGTAGCCTGCAAGGATTGGGACTGCAAGGTTTCCACTGCCACTCTCCGCCTGTTGAAGGCGTTCATCTCTTCCTCCAGCTCCTTCCTCTTCTCCTCCACCTTCCTTTTCTCTTCCTGGTGTATCCTTTTTAAGTGCTCAAACTTCTCGTGCAGCTGGTAGGAGACAGACCCTCTGAGCATCACATTCAGCTGGTTCTGGCTGTGCCAACCCTGCCCCAGGAGCCCTGTCACACCTCCCACACAAATCCCCACCACAGGGACCAACCTGCTGGCAGAACACAGCACACACTGCCCACCAAAAGCAGGGAAGACACAATATATTCAGCTCTGCCCGACACCACACAGCAAACCAGAGGCAGCAGGAGCCCTGGGAATGAGCACAGGGGATTTTGGCCCAGGCTGTAGCCCTGTACAGGGGCTGGGGACATTGCAGATCTGCTGTTCTTCACTAGTTTGGCCCATTTAATTCCTCCCCAGTCACAGCTGCTTCCTGAGGCCTCACACTGGAGACTCCACTAGACTCACTTTAGCTGGGGACCCCCTTTACTCTGCTGTCCAGTGAGGCACAAGAGGCCAGTCTCTGTCACAAGGATGCTCACCTGAACTTCCTGCCATTGCCTTTCACTCCCCAGACAGCAGCTGTATTTCCACATGGCACAGCACAGGGAAGACTAGCTTCCTAAACCACATCACCTAAACCAGTGATGTGTTTGTGCTTTGGCTGGTGAGGTTTGCTGGAATGTGCTTTCCAGGATTCATGCATTGCCCAGACCCAGATTCCCTGCTGGCAGTTTGGGTTCCTTGCAAATTTTTGGCACACCCACCTCTCTCTCCTTCTCCTTCAGCTCTGCCTCTGTCTCCTTGACTTTGTTAACAAACATTTGTCTCATTTCTTCCTCTTTCCTCTGGAGCTCACCCAAGAACTCTTTCCTTTTGGTCTCATATGTTTCTTGGAGGCTGGGGAAGAAAGCAAATGAAATGCAGACTCTCTGGATACTGATGAGTTCGTGATGGGAAATGCATGCCTGTCTGTACTGTTTGGAAAAACAGGCAGGGAAGGGAACATCTGAATCAGCAGCAAAGGTCAAACCAGCGCTGGCATTTTCCAGCTGGCACTGTAGATTTCACCTAAAAACCTCCCATTTTTTGGGGCTGTCAGTACCAAACTCTCACTCTAAATTGATGCTAGATGTGAAGGCCACTCACCTGAAGGGCTGGTTGTCTGGATCTGTGTCCTTGAAACCCATCTCCTCCAGTTTGCACCTCCGGTAGAGCTCGTAGTGGCGGGTGTGGGTCTGCTCCCGCAGATCCTCCATGTTCACCCGGATCAGCATTTCCCTCAGCTTCACAAAGTCACAGTGACTTTCATTCTCCACTGACAGAAGGCAAGGGACAAGTCAGCAAACTGCAGGTGTGGTGAGGGAACACAAGGGCACACACAATTGACTCCTGAGGAGCCTGTTGTCCTGCTCAGGGCACAACACAACCCCTGGGATGCAGGGATTCCTGCTGACCTTCCTACCTGCTGTAGGAATGGCAATGCAAAGGAGAGACCAGCCAGCCCACAAATGCTGCAGGGGACACGCCTGCACTGCTTACCAGAGGGCACCTTCATGCAGAGGTGCTGCTGGAGGGCAGAGCTGGCAGGGTTTGCCTGACACACACAGGGTTTGGGGTGGGCTTGGGCCCCTCACCTTGCACCACTCCCCACGGGTACTGCCGGGCTCGCACCAGCTTGTTCCCAACCTTCACCTCCTCCGTGCTGCCGACCACAGCGAAGGGCAGATGAGCCTGAAACAGAGCCCAGGGCAGGGACTCAGTGCATGGGGCACCCCCAGAAATCAGCCTGACCCTCAGCTCCCCCTCACCCAGCCACAGGAGCTGAGCCCTGAGCCCTTTCTTTGAACCTACCAATTCCTGATACTCAGAGCAATCTCTGCTACAGAGAGTGGTGAGGGGTCACAGCACAGCTCACCAGCAGTGCTGCCTGGGCTGCAGCAGCTGCAGAATACTGCAGGAACACCGTGGTCATCAGTGCCCCCCTTCCATCCCTCTGCCAGGCTGCACGCAGCAGGAGTGGGGCAGGGACATCCACCACCAGGCTTGGCACAGCAGCGAGCGGGTGGGCATGTGCAGGGTACAGCGAGTGCTCGCTGCTCGCCAAGCCTGCCAGGCAGCAGGAAACAGGACTCCCTGCTCGGGACTGCCAGCAAGGAGTGGGTGCTTCAGCAGGGTGAGGCTGACAAAATCCTTCACGTTTGAAAAGAAATGGATCCAGAAGTGTGGGACGCATAGAGAAGTGGCCAAGTATATTTTCATTGGAGGAAGGAAGGGGGAAATAAAAAGCCAAGCAAGCATGACTTCTGTTTTTCTCTCCAATACACACAGCTTGCAATTATTTAAGTAAGAATGAATCCTCCAAGGTTTTTATTATTTCAGCAAAAAAGAACTATTATAGTGAAATCATGTATCTAGTCCATCCAGAAACCAACTGGTGATTGAATTTTTAAAAAAAAATGGTGGGGGGAACAGTGAAAGAAGAGACAAAACATTTAATCTGAAACAGCTATGCAGGAAAATGGTCATTTTGATGAAAAAGCTACTTTTGATTTATAAAATTAACATGGAAACTTTTCAGTTGTTTCTACTGCCATAGCTGTACTCTGATTTGGGAGACAGGAAGCTTAAAAGTGTTTTTGCATGTGCTTCAGTCAGGTCTGAATTTCATCTCTGAATTTCAAAAAAGACAAAATAGAGATTAAAGATTTTTCTTCTTTACTTTAAATTGGATTTACTTTAAATTGGGTCAGCCTCCTTAAGTCACAAGACTAATGTAAATCTTAACTGTCACATTTTATTAAAATTCCTTCTTCCTCAAACGCAAAGTAGCCTAAGAACAGACAGAATTAATTTTGAGGAAAGTATTTTTAAAAAATTCAATAAAATAAATTCTAGATCTAAGTTTCTCCAAAGAGCCCACAGATTAAACATGAGCTACTATTTAATTAATTCTGTATGCAACGGCCTTTGGCATCTGCGAGACCCACAGCTTGGCTTCCCAACAGATTCAGTGTCTGGACATTGCCAATTAAACTTGCCCATCAAATGTGTTTTTGTGCAGGTTACTCGTCCCAGCTTTTGGCAGCGATGGAAGTGGCAGCGTTACCCACATTCATCACAGAGTTGATCTCAGCCACCGCCTCGTCGTCCGTGGGGAACTGGTAGATCTGCACCCCATTGCTGACCAGCTCGCTCATGATCTTGATCTTGAACTTGTGCAGCTCGCTCTTGGAGATGGTGTCTGCTTTGGCAATGATCGGGATGATGTTCACCTGGAGCACAGGGGAGGAAGGAAGGACAAACACCCAGGTGAGCAGCAGCTGTGTAGAGCCCGGGGTGACCCACATCTGCCCCACTGGCTGTTTTACATCTCCCAGAATCTCCTCGGGGCTGTGTTTACACAGGAGCTGCAGCCCAGCTCAGCTGAACACTAGAGGGAAGAGTTCTCCAGGACTCCCTTGGCTACAAGACTTCAGACAAACCACACAGCCTGCCCGAAGCACACAGGGAGCAAATCAAAGCCCTGCTCTCGCCTGTGTTTTGTTACACACCAGGAGGGAGGCAGACACGGTGTGGCTGTACATCCCAGCTGTCACCCATGCACACTGGCTGTGCTGACAGGGTGTTCTACATGACAAGCACAAGGGTGAAACGCACACTGAGCTGATGTGAAGCCTTCCCATGCTCAAATGGAAAGAGCAGGGACTCCTCAGATGCTTTGACAGCAGCTGATGACCCTCCCCAAGGACTCCATGACCCTCTTGGTGAGGATCACAGCTTGGCTGTGCCATGTGGATTATTTGGAGAAAGGGGCAGGGTGCCATACAGCAGATAGATTTATTTTCATGCTGTACTTGCTCAGCTGTGGTTTCACAGCAGCCAGCAGTCACTATACCCCACACAACTTCATCAACCTGGGCTTCAAAGCCACCCATGAGCTGCACAGTGGGGGGGTCTCCCTGTGGCCAGGACCCACCAAGATCAAAGTAAACAAGGGCCCATCCATCAGGAGTGATGGGGTTCATTATGGCCTCATGCTTAAGAGCTACAGCGAGGCTGGATTTGCCACAGAAACCTGTGCTAGATAATTCTGCTGTGCCCAGAAAAGCCATGTGTGATACTGAAACCACTGCTTAAACAAACAGCAGAGCTCATCTGTCTGAACAGCAGCCAAATTCACAGCAGTGAAACATGAGAATTTAGACAAATAAGGGAAAAGTCTGATTTGCCATTTAACATCCAACAGCCAATGCTTTTTTCCTACAGAGCTGAAGTTCACAGCAACCATATGGTCTCCAGTGGGTGCCCATTAAAATAAATGGCTGTGCTCTCCCAACACAAGTTCCTTGTAGCTCAGTGTTTTTTGCACACTTGGGTTCCCCCCACACCACTGCTCTCCCTCCCCTTTCTCTGTTCAGTGGTTGAGCACTCACTAAACACAAAAGCATTGACTTACTCTGAAGGAAGATAGTCTAAATTTATTCACTGCAAATGTATCTGACAGAAAAAATTCCTCTTTTTCTCAGCCACTGACCTGGACTCTTTTACCAAAGACCACAGCCCCCCACAGAAAAAGGCCTGCTGCTCACTCCACTGCTCAGCAGGTCCATGTCCTCATTACAAAGGTAAAAGGGCCACGACCACAGCTGGGTGTCTCCCTGACCTGCTAAGACCTGAGGAGGCTTGGATTCACCATCTCCCACAGAAGAAGGGTCAGCTCGGGACTCACATCCCTTTTCAGTCAGCCCAAGCAACTTCCCCTTCTTTTTCCAAAGGACTCCTGTTCAGCCCTGCTCACAGCAACACAGGAGGTGCAGAGCCTGGAGCAGCTTTCTAGCAGCAGAGGAGACAGGCTCTGCTCTGTGGTCACCACTGTGGTCTCAGCACTACTCAAAGAAATCACAAACCAAGGCTGGTTTGAGTGTCCTCAACCAGATTTCTTGTATTTCAAAAAGGCAACTCAGTGAACACCTAATGATACAGAGTTCACAACACAAAGGGGTTTTACAAGTTGTGTTTCCAGTAATCAATAGCCATATCAACACTGGGGTGGCATGGATATGGCATTTGAATGTAGTCCTAGGTCTAGAATGGGTTCATGCCTTCACAACACAGAAAGGATGGAAAAGTTTGGAAACAAGAAACCAACGAGACACGAGATGCTACTGAACTGAATGTCTCACCCTTCCTCCCCACAGCACCTTCCACACACCCACCTCCATGCCAAGGCCAAGTCTGTGGCACAGAGATTGATGGCAAACTGATATATATATCCAGCTAGAGAAGAAGTCACCTCTTCTTATGGACAGGTTTTAAAAGCCCAGTAAAAGGAAGGAATGCCAGAACTACATAAGGGTTCTCTGTCCACTATTTGTACATCAGTAACATTGAGCTAGGGTTGAAGGCAAAATCCTAGAGCAACATTCTTGTATCTATGGTGGAAGAGCAATATTCTCTATTTGAAGATCTAGTAATAAAATCATGCAGTTGACTACTGGCATGTCACCCCACTGAATGTGCCTGTCCCCTTGTGACAGGCAGTGTCCCCTTGCCTGTCAGTCCATGTGCTGGAGGGCTTTGCTGGAGCTGGAATTATGACTAAAGGAAGCCTGTGCTTCCGACAGGACAGGGAGCTCCCATGCAGACAAAAATGCACCTCCTTCTCAAGTCTTTCTGACCAGAGTTGCTTCTCATCTCCAAAAATAAAACTTACAAGAACTTCTCATGTGGTTGAAAATAATTCTGCTGATGCAAGAAGGCTGTAGGCACTTCTGCCCTGTGAAATACAGCTGAATTTTCCCCATCTCCAAACTGTTCCTGAATGCAAGCTGCAGCGAAGCCAACAGGCAAATCCTACTTTGGAAGCCAAAGAGCTGAGGCACAGGCTGCCTGAAGCATCCCCACCTGCCCAGGATGTGTCATCTTAGGAGGGCAGGCACTCAGCCACAGCTCAAACAGCACATGGTGACTGAAAACCATCCAGGACAAGCAGTGAGCTCCAGGACCCTTTTGGCTGCACACACTGCACCACCATTTCCCTTGACAGGGCTGGGGTTTAAATCAATAAATCACCTTCTCATCTGATACAAATGCACTATCTCCTCCTTTTCCCAGGTTAAACCCAGTGGAAAGTCTATATCTGTCAGGCCCTATCTGCTTCCCACTAGAAGCCAGCCAAATTCCATCTACCTACAAGCACTGCTGAAGATGCTTCTGCTCTCTGGCTGTAACTAAATACCCCAGACAACAGCTGGCCATGAGCTCAGCCAAACAGATATTGTCTTACAGTACAATGGAAGATTTTGTTTACAAAACAGCTTTACCAAAAAGGGATTTTGTAGACTTTACACTAAAAGCAAGATTGGCTACTGAAATTGTCACAGAGAGTCAAAGGCCTGTCCAGGACACATCATGGCACTTGTGGGCTAAAGCAAAGGTGGAACTGAGCCATGGTGCAACAAACTCCCTGTGAAACCCATCCCAGAGGCTGAGCAGCAGAGCACAGAGCAAAACATTGCCTCTGATGTTCCTTCCATCTCCACAAGCTCCATTCAGCTGTAAAGCAAGGGCCCCACAAAGCTCTCAGGAAGAATGGCAGGTTCAGGTGTGCTCACCCAGCAGCAGACACGAGCAGTGCACATCAGGCACATCCCCTCTGCTCAGGAACCTCCCGCTGCCCCAGCCAGAGCGCAGAACTGCCTGGGCTTCGCTGGCACCCCTCTCACCCTGCCCACACGCCAGCCCCCAGCACAAATGGCTCATCTGCAGGGGGAAAGGGGCCCAGCACTGCTGTGCACAAACCCCAGGGAGCGCCTGGAAAGCGCTCCCGTGTCCTGGGATGACACCAGTGCAGAAATGCAACTTAAATCCCTGATGCCCAGAAAATATCAATGGGCTCCACTTGCTTATTCATTTCCACGTACCCACTTGTGTGAGGCCACCACAGCATGAAATCCAGGATGTTCTCATGCTGTGGCAAGAAGGGAGATGGGAACAAAGGCGTAAAATGACTCCAGAGAGGTCTATTAAAGTGGAAGTTTGGAAATATAAAAAGTTTTTCCTGTGCACAAAGTTTTCATCTGTGCACAAGCACAAAGGATTTATTCTGGTACTACCAAAGGACCACATTAAAGGCAACCACAGGGTGATGTGAAAAGCAGGGAGTGAGAAGGAAAGTAGAGAAATGCTTTGTGGGACTACCAGCACCAAGGGGAATAGTGCAAAAGCTTTTCTCCAAAAATATTTCTGGGAATACGTAATGCTGGCACTGTACCAAGAGACAAAAGTTTATTAAGGGAAAGTTTTCAGATTCCTGATGAAGTCAGTGTAACAGCCAAAGCTCAAACAGCCCACTGCAACAGGAAGCCAGTGCCTGCTCTGGATTGGGGCCAAGGAAAAGCAGGCCATGAGCCCTAGGTGGTAAGAGCAAGCAGCAGAGACTGCACAGGGGAACTCAACCCAGCAGGAAAGCCCAACAGAGCTGCACATGAACAACAGACAGAGAAGAGAGGAGAGTGCTCCCTCAATCCAGGGGATCCCCACGTCCTGCAGGGTCCCACCTGCATGCCTGTCCCTCTGTAGGCTGAACAGCATCTGCCACCTAAAAGGAACCTGCTGCTAAAACACTGCTCTGAAAGACAGGAAGTCTTTGAGAAGAAAAGCAGAGAATCTGCGGCCACCTGTGACCTTTGAAGCCTCCTGCAGCTCCCTGGAAGCCAGCTGGAACACCAGAACTACGTCAGAAACTTGTTCCCAGCTGCAGGAATATAAGCAAGTAGCTGGACAGGTAACATCCTGCCCCCTAAGCAGAACAGCTTGTGCACAAAGAAACTACCCCAGTAGACCCTCTCATCACCCACTTTTAGAATCCCTATGACATTGAGAATTCCTTACCAAATCTACACTTTAAGAACATACTGTAATCTCCTTCCAGATCACTTGGCACTGCCAGCAGTGACAGCTCACACACTCCCTGTGCACCAGGACACACAGCCAAAGCTGCTCCTCAGCCCTTGTCTCCTCAGCACAGACCACCACCTTAGGACACTACAGTTCTGGGGGCTCTCAGCCCCTCTGTCCCTGCTGACAGGTCAGGACAGCAAAGGGAACTCCACTGTTTAACTGCTAAAGCTGGAAGGCATCCTCACCCGCTCACCCAACAGAGCTGCAGCTGATGGCTTTGATAAATATCAGCTAATCTGGGTAAGATTCTTACAGTAGAGGGACACTCTGGAATTTACACAACCAACAGAAAAACAGGCTTTCCCTGAAATTCTTCAGGAAAGTCAGCGAGAAAAGAAGCACAGGACCTCAGCAACCCCCAGGCCACACAAAGCTTTACCAGAGTCCTAGGAATGGCTCAGCTGCCATGGAGGAAGGAGTCCAACACTTGCACAGAAGGAACAAAACCTTCCACATGACAATCAGTACCAACAGAAGCATTCCAGAAAGAGGGACTGCAGTCCCCAAGCCCCTACCTTGCTATCCAGCTTCTTCATGGTCACCAGGTCCAAGGACTTGAGCGAGTGCCCGGTGGGGGTGATGAAGTAGAGGCAGACGTGAATCCTCGTGTCGTGGTAGTTGAAGAGAGACCGGCGGATTTTCAGCTCTTCTTGCAAATAGTTTTCAAACTGCGTATCAATGTACTCTACGATTGGCCTGTAACTAAAACCATCCCATTAGCAAACCAGCTACTGGAGCACAAACCTAAACCATCTAAAGGCTGAAGGAATTCTCCTAGATGTTCCACGATATCACTTAAAAACAAGTTATAAGACTCAAACAATTTAGCTTTACAATGGGGAAAAGTGTGGTGGTTACACACAGACCTTAAAATCCAAAGGTTGCTGGAGATTCTTGAGGCTGCACTGAAAAGTCTAAGGACACCGGAGCACAGAAAGATGACTACTTCCCCATAGGAAACTTTTCCCAGATTTCAGGGCTCAGCCAACTGTCTGTAGCAATGCAACATGCCCAAGGAGATAACTTGGAATCCCAGAAAGCCTTTACCTGGGGCTTGAACAAGATGTCTGTGTCATTAAATGAGACAAGTTCAGAACAGATAATTCCTGACCCTGCTCTGAGGACAGCTGGTTAACAGCTCATGCTCCTGGAGGACAGCAGTCTCTGCTGCAAAGACCTCCTGTGACCTCTCTGTTTGACTATTCACCCTCTACCCTTTGTCCCCAGAACCAGAGCCACTACAGGCAGCGACTCCTTTAGCAGAGGCACAGCCACTTCTGCAGCGCTGCAGGGGGAGCTGCAGGCAGTTGATGTCTAAACACAAGGCAAGCCCAGAAACGCCGAGCAGATGGCACAAGACCTGCCTTTCGTCTTTATTGATCTGATCCCCAAATCCAACTGCATCCACGATGGTCAGCTTCAGGTGGACGTTGCTCTCCTGCAGGTCGTAGGTGCGCGGCCGCAAGCGAACCGCGCTCTCGTAGTGACTGGCTTCCTCCGTCTCAAACGTGGTGTTGAAGAGGGTGTTCATCAGCGTGGATTTCCCAATGCCAGTCTCACCTAGGGAGGACAGACCATCAGCTCACTGCAGCGTGAATTTGCCACCGGTGCTTCAAAGCACATTAATGAATTACACAACTGAATTACACCGTGGAAGGTCAGCACAAATTGCTCGTGGACAGACATGTAATTGTCACACAGGTGTCACACAGACAGGTGCCTGCCTTCCTGAAGGTCTCCCATGTTTAATGCAAACAACACAGAGCACTTGGGTCTTGTCTCCCAGTATCACACAAAACACAGCAGCACAGCAAAACACACTATCTTCCTTTCCATGACCCCTGACTTTGCCTGGGATTCTGCACTAGAGAAGCTGTGGAGAGGACAATTCCAGTACCCACTGAAGGACACCTGGGATGCATCACAAAAACCTCTATCCCCGAATATTTGGCTGACAAGCTGCTTGTGAGCAGAAAGGCTTTGAACTGCTGTTCCTGGTAATGAAACAAGACTGATGTTTTCCAGTTTGGCCTAGAAGGGGCCTCATTTAAATTCCTTATTCACTACACACAGCCCTATTGGTCATGGGGGTGAAGAGAGGCAAAACCTAAGAAAATAAGCTTCACTGCACAGTCTGTACAGGAGCTGCTGTATTTCTGCTGGTCTAGCAAGTCATACTCATCTCATCACTGAAATAAATTGGTCTCTAGTACTCCAGCCAGCATTGCCTGCTAGATCACATCAATACCAAAATTAAAAGCCAAGAACAGAATGAGGTTATTTTAAAGCCAGTAAGGAACAGTCCCCTCCTTTTCTGAGCACAGAGATGACCATGCTTCATGACCTCTGACACCTGGAAAGCACTGATGAGGCACAGCTCAGACACAAACCTCTTGTGCCCAGATTTGGGGTGCAGGCTTACACTCAGAAATTACCAAGTTACCAACAGCAGTTCTCACACGACCCATGGTGCATCTGACTGCATGTACCTAGACATCATACCCAGCAAAAGCTGCTCATGCCAGCCACCCCAGTTAGCATATGGAAACACTTAACTTGCTATATACAGCCTTCCTTTGATCTTTCCTATTGCAAAGCTATTGCTGCAGAGATGATGACCAATACCACACTGATTACAGAAATTCTCCTGGCTTGACTCGATATGTTTTTTAAGAGTTTGGCATTTCTGACTTGCTGAAGTCGCTGCCAAGGCTTGTGGCATAGCAGGACACTCAATAAATGCTGTCCCAGCCTCCCCCATGCCTGTTTGCAGAGGACTGCTCACCCACACAGAGGATGTTGAAGCTGAAGCCTTGTGTGACAGACTTGCTGACCAGCTGATCTGGGAGGCTGTCGAAGCCCACATGGCCCCCCAGGGAAAGGTTCCTCTTCTCTTCATTCTGCCAGGGAGAAGAAGCCAGATTAGCAAACTGCACTGAGATGGCAAATCAGGCTGAGGAGACCAAGATCGCCCACCCTCCTGGGCACTGCAAAGCCCAGCAGTGCCCCTAAGGGCTTGTGCTTGGCACACCACAGCACAAACCCCCCAACAGCCACCAACAACAGGAAAGAGGGTGTGAAATACTGATCTTCATGGCGAGCTGGGAGAACCAAGCTACCAGGCTCCAAAGTAGAGAAAACACTAGTGTGAGCTTCAACTACATGCAGCTGGGAGAGATTAGCAAAGAAAACCTACCACGGTGTGTTTTAGCACTCATTTCTCTTTGATTTTTTTTGTATTTTATTTTCTCAAACCCTCCAACAGTGAATTCAGCTTGACAGACTGTGCATTTTTCCCTGAGTACTTGCCTTTCCCCCTCTGCTATGGCCACAAGCAGCGAGGTTTGTTCGCTCAGGCGCTGGGGGTGCCGGTGGCACAGGCAGGGCAAGGAACCCTCTTGTTTTACCATCTGTGACCACAGTTATCCACTGTTCCTCTCTGTTCCTGTTCCTGCCTCCCCCGTGTGCACTTTGCTCTCCCTTCTGTTCCCTCCCTCCCCCACAGAAGCTGATCACCTGTAGAGGCTTTGCTTAGGAGCTAAGACAACAAAATCCAAGAAGACAGCAGCTCTACAACCTGTGCTATATGGAGAGGCAGAGCAGCAATAAAGTCCAGCAAAGAGGAGCTGACAGAAGGAAAATTTATCTTTCTAGTGGCTAAAACCAAGCAAGTTTTGAATTTCAACAGATGCACACCTCTCTGCACAACTAAGAAATTATGTCTGAACCCAGGGACCACCATCCCTGGAGGCCCTCAGGCACTCTTACCCATCCAAAGAAAAGCAAGGAGACAGGACTTCAGAGAATGATTAATTCACCCTCACAATTTCTTTAGGAGTTGATTGTTTTTCTTAATCCCCAGCAACATAGAAGATGGGAATGGAAAAAATGTTTGCCCTTGGTTTGGCTCTGGTTCTTCTGTCTGTTCCTGACAACTGGAATTTAATGTCCCAGCACTAAGTCTGAGAGACAAGAGCATCCCTGAGAAGAGCCCAAGCTGCCTGTCAAATTTAAATGAAGTCAAGAGGAAAGTAAATGATGTGATAAGCCTTATGTATTGCTCTGTGCCTATGGTAAGGTTGATAAACAAAACACAAACCTTTGTTCAACTGCATCTTGAGTCAAAGCCTCCTTCAGCTCTGCCTTTGGTAGAACAAATATTCTCAGTCTTCTAAACCATTTAAATCACAAGAACAACTTGTGAACAGCTGAAACAACTTCCACGCCTCACACACAAACCTTCTAGGTGTTCTGTTCAGCATTTTTTACCCACTTTCAGATTATTTTAGCCCAGTGCTTTCCAAGGGACTCCCTGGACAAAACCACAATTGAATCATAGCTGGGCTCCTATGATCCATCCTATTCTGTCTAATCAGGATCAATCATACTCACTAACTTAGTAGAAAGTGCAATCATTTAAAGTTTCCAAGCAATCATGTACAGTTTTCATTGATGTGAGCAATCAAGGTTTTGAGATGGCCAGAGTTTAGGTGAATTAAAAATAAAAACGACCCCTAAGACAGGGAGATCTCCAAGTTCAACTCTCTTCCATTCACCTGTCAGCACAGGGAGCTGCTACAGCTCAGACCCCAGGACAGAGGGGGTGTTAAAGGTGAGTCTGTGCTGCTCCAGGCAGCCAAATGCTGAGCTGTGGGTCTTGCACGGGTGGCACAACTGCACTGGGAAGGGAAACTCTGCGTGTGCTGGGCAGAGACTCGGAGCTGATGAGCTCTGCTTCTGCCCAGAGGCTGCACAAGGCACAGGAAGCCCCTGCAGGCACCAGTTGAGCTCGGGGGGCTTCCTCAGGCTCTCAGCCCAATCTCTCAGCCCCTGCTTCTCATCCTCCCCGTGTCCCTCTGAGCCACCAGTTCCCAGAGCTTAAATGCCAGTTCCCAGCACTGCAATGCGGTGACAGCCGGGCAAGCTGTTCCCACAGAAAGCCACTGGGTCTGACGGTTACACTTTGTGTCTTTTCATTTTAAATAATAAACAAAAACAAGCAAACAAAAATACAAACTAGAAGCCTGGAATGACATTTTGGATGGGAAATAAATAAAGGCTGCCGATGGCTATGATTAGGCTGAAAGTGCCTGAAGCTGGGAGGAGGTTTCCAGGCAACAGGCAGCACCACTGCTCGAGATTTTAAAATAGGCTCCAGCTCAGCAAGGCTGCATTTAAATAGGCTCCAGCCAGGCAAGCCTGCATTGAGAACTCAGTCATGCCTTGGCTGCAGGATACCCAAATGCATCCACACAGGGCTTCTTCTCTTTTTTTTTTGGCACTCAGTCGCTGTTCACTACAGGACAGGAATACACCTACTCAGAGCTGCTCGCCATCTCTCAAAGCTGTTAAATCAATGAGCCAGACTTCAGTGGAATAATTTTTGCCAGTGACCTTGAAATGCAGTTTGCTTTATTTCTGTAAGCAGCAGAAGTAACTTGGTTCAAGTTCAAGGCACTGCCGATACCAAAGCAGAAAGCCATTTGTTGTGCTTGCAGTGTGTTCAGCTGTCACTCAGCTCCAAAGGGATTTTGCTGTGTTAGGATAAACAATGGCAGCAGCTGTTGGGAAGTAGGAAGACTAGGAAAATAAAGAAAGGAGGGGGAAAGTTTTCACTGTTTTATTCTTTGCCTCCAATCCATCGAGCTTGGAAACCTGACAGCCTTGTGAACACAACCAGTGCTCACTTGTGGAGTTTGGTGCACGGACCTGTGCTGGACAGGAACCTGTATGAGCAGCCTCAGATGACCAGCCCTTTTGGCCAGCTCCCACATGCCAGGGTGGCCCAAGGACAGCTTGAAAGTTCACCTGCTAGGGAAGACAAGGTCACACTCCAAGTAGAACCCATTCCAGCAGAAACAGCCAGCCTGCCACACTCAGCATAAATAATCAACCCAGAACACAAATGCTGCAATAAATGAGGGCAGCACCAATGCAGCAATGTAGGGGGTTTTGTTAGTGTTTTAGTTTGTTTTAAACAAAAGCTAAGGATTTCAGTAGAGCTTTCTCCATACTTTTGCCAGCAATGAGACTGCCTTGCAGGATAGGAGCTGGGCAGGTCATATGGCAGAGCCAGCTGGGATCAGCCATGGCAAGAGCCAGGCAGGAACACAGCCCTGCCCTTTCCAGTTGCACTGGTCCCTGCACACTCCTACCCTCCACAGCACGCAGGGTGAACCAGGTCCCTCCATCTCACAGGAGAGACAATCTGGTCCTTCTTACCAGGCAGGACCCATCCTGGGGCTGCAAACAACCACAAGGCATCCAACCTTTGCTGAAGCCCATTTCATCATTACACAGTATGACAATTAAGAGTCTGCAATGGCTCCAGGTGGGAACTCTCACCTGAAATAGCAACTGCAGCCCTGAACATCCCTTCTTGGGTCATTAATAACATCCTATGATGGAGCAGCTGCCAGGGCTTTCCTTGCAGTCTTTGAACATGCTCTTCAAAGATTTCTGTGCCTTGAGCTGATCTTCTGGCTTGAAGCAGAGAGCCAAGGGTATAAATCATAGTTTGAATCTGGAATTTTGTGGGAAATGAAAGATTCATCATAAGGTCAGAGCAGAACTTATGTATTTTCAAATCCTAAGTCCTTACATTTTCACAAATGTTCTGTCCAGGCAACAGGCACAGAAATGGCATCTAGGGGCATGGCCACAGGAACAGCCATCCCAGAGAGATGTATCAGGTATCTTATGTGTCTTTAGCTCTGATTTGACAGCAACAACACAGAACTCTTTTCTTAGCATGCAGCAGAAAGACAGATATGTCCTTGGTAGCACAGATGGACACATTCAGCTGAGCACCACAAGAACTGAAGTAAAACCTCCACCCATAGTGCTTGAAATGCACTGCAATACACCAGGCACCCTGGCTCCTGGTCACTCCCAGCTGGAGGCTGAGGATGCATTTGGGATGCACAATGGCACACCAGCCCATTCCCGTGGCCACACCAGCACAGAGCTGCCCAGAGAACCAAAAAGTGCTCTGCAAACCCACTTCAGCTTCCAAGCCCCTCTCCAGCAGGGTCACCAGGGCTGTGCCCTGTGTCCTGGCAGGCAGATGGAGCAGCACTGCTGTGGGCAGCTGGCCACACACCACAGCCACTGCTTGATGATATGGTATTTGGCCCTTTACTGCACGCCAAACAAGAAAAGGCAGCAGAGAAACACAATCAGAGAGACCAGATCCAGATCCTCATAAGAGGATCAACACAGCATCACATACTAATTTGGCTCTTCTTCATAGACAGTGATAAAAGAAACCTATGAGAAGTGCACAGGCTACAGCTTCAAACTGTGCGTCTATGATTCTTCAAAAAAATAAAAACCCGATCACAGTTTCTCTTCATGCTTCACCTCCAAATTAGCATCAGTTTCACTCTGCGTCATTACATTTTTCAGCAGCTTGTTCCAGGAAAAGTGGTTTTACCACTGCCTGCACAACCCAGGGGAACGTCAGCAGCGGGACCAGTTCCATGTTCAGCTGCCCCTCAGCTGCAGTGTTCCTAGCTGGGGCTCCTGGTGCAGAGCAGAGCAGCTGACTGCTTTGAGAGGGGCTGCCCCTGCTTCCTTTGCTTTCACTAGGAGCATTATAAACAGAGTGGACCTTGTTTAGAGAAGATCATTCTGTTATCAGTTGGTTTAAAAAAAAAAGTATCTCTAGAAGTATCATTTTTCAATTAGTCCCACCACAAAATTCTCCATAGTGACATATGCTTGTGTTTCCTGCTTGAGACAACCCTCGGGCTTTTTTTCCTGAATGATGCAGGTGAAAGCATATGGGTAAACAAAAGCGTAATTGAATGCCACAATCATAAATGATAATACTTATTTTTTTAAAAGGGTGAACCTGGCATGATGGGACTTGTAATGTAAACTCTGAGCCTTGCTTCAT